TAATAAGCACCTGCTACCACCGCATATTATTAAATTTTCACAGAGGGAACCATTTGATAGAGCCAAAATGAAAGAATATGATAATTATAAGCCGGATGACGATCAAAATATTATAAACGGTAAAAATAATTACCCAAATGTTACACCTGTGAATTATTTACTTATATACTACATTTTTTTATACTCGTTCACAGTGCGAGGAACTTCCATCCTGACAACTATTTTTTCAAAAATAAAAAGATAGAACTCGTCTAGGCCAAGAATGAGTTCAACTGATTGCATTTTTATTTTCGACAAAAATTATAACTAAATACCATATTTCATCAACTTTTGTCACGCGTCCCTCCTTTTAAATTTTGGAGAAAATGACACTTGTATCTGTTCTATTTAAAAAAAGAGGTAAATAAAGGAAAATGAAGCATTGGATACGAGGGATGGGGTAATCAATTGTCATTTTCTCCAAAATTTAAAAGGCAGGACGCATGACAAAATGGATACATAGGGTATTTAGTTGTAATTTTTTCTGAAAATGAAAATGGAAATGGTCGAAAAATAGCTGTTAGAATAGAACTCAACACGAACGAGTTTTAAAAAAATACAGCGCTAAAGCTTAATGCCACATAAGATAGAACCACTTTTGCCCTGTACGTTGTGAACAATTATAGGGCCAACCGGAACATTAATAATGGAAGCTACCCCCTCACCCACGCTAGTTGAAATATTATTTGAAACTCTATAGGGTTAGGGATAAGTATTTTTTTCCATATCTTTCCAAAACCGTAAAAGTATATTGTGATTCATACATCTCGTACTTTTGAGTTTTTTTTTAGATATATCCAAAATTTATAAAAAAAAACTAAAAAAAATATTTTGATGTGTTTGGTACACATTCACTTAACAAAATTTTTGAGGAGTTAACAATGAGATTAAAATTGCTTATTGAAAAAAAATACTTTAAGGGCAAAATTTATCTTAAAAATTTAATATTTTTAGAACGATATTGCACAGAAAATACTTTAGGATGCTAGAAAAACCTCAAAAAATATTTCAAGATATTAGATAAATAACAAATACTTTAGGATACTAACATATTAAAAAATATTTGAGCGTGATACATGTATTTTAACCCATCTCTATATATTCACACGTGAAAAGGAAACAAAGAAGGAAACAGATTACACTGAATAATTAGGATATGTTTGGATTCACAGTGGCAAAATTGACTTCTATTCTAATTGATTTTTTGTAAACTAAAGTTAGAATAAAATTTAGTTAGTATAATGTGATTTACGTTTAGATAAGTACTTATAAAAAATCAGTTGGAAAAATTAAAAGTTTGGATAATTAATAGAAAAGTAAGTTTAGTTGTAAAATGACTGAAAAGGGTATAGACTTTATTGAATAATAGTGTTTGATATTTTATGTTTTTAATGTGATAATAGTTAAAAAATTATCTAAAATTATTATGATAAAATTATCTAGTTAGATTGTAAGTTTTGTACAATTTGGTATCTAATTGAGTCATAAATACAATCTATTTCGTTTAACTTCAAACATACATGCTTTGATATGAAATGGGTATAAGGTTTATTTTTTTTGGTTACAAAAGAGGGAGTAGCCCAAAATTAGAGAAAAACTAACGCATGGGAGAAGTTCAGCTAGGAGAAGACGCATGACATGTTTAGAACAGCTTATAAGTAGCTTTTCAATTGTGATTTATGAAATATGAGATAAGTTTGTGAGAGAAATTTTATCTCGATTTACGCAAAATATGTTTATGAGTGATTTTCATCGTTTTCCCAAGCAGGCCCGCAATGGCAGAGAGAAAATGAGAGCTGTTCAGCGTGAGGGAGAAGGGTGAAGGAAAAGAGAGGGAAGAGTGAGGGTGAAGGACAAATCTAGTAGGGGTATTTTCAAATGAGCATTAAATGCTATTTTAATGGTAAATGAGGTTCTTAACGCATACTATTCGAAACGTCTCAACATATCTGTAATTTCCTTCAAAAGTTGGTTATATTTTAAGACCATCCAAACAACCCGTCTACTTCAAAAAAGCTTTAACTGCGGTTTCACATGTTCCTAGCCGTTTTTCCTGCTCCAAATAGTGATCCAAATATATCCTTAATAGGCCCATGTTACAACCACATATTATTTAATATGCACGAAGAGAGCCATTGGATAGAGCCAAAATAGAGGAATATGATAATTATAGGATGACACATATTTTATTGGGAAAATGACAATAAAATACACTTGAATTCCAAAAAGACAGATAAGGGACCTGAATAAGCAAAATGACAAATAGGGCACTGGGTACCAATTTGGAATTCATATTTTCGGCTAAAGCCAAAATGCCCTGATGAAATTGGGGAAGACCGAAAGCTGAAAGTGAGAGAAAGGAGAGAAGAAGACCGACGCAGTGAGAGAAAGGAGAGAGAAGACCGACGCTGATGAAATGCGGGAAGAAGGAAAGAAGAATGTTGGAAATGCTATTATGTTACTCCTTCGCATCACCATTCTGTAGAGATTGTTGATTTGGTGGGTTTTGGTTGTGGGAAAGAGGATTTGTAGTGAGAGAGGGAGTGAACCGAAGCGGAAAGATGAAGTGGAAATTAGAAACTGGCAAGCAATTACATAACGTAACTGCTGTCATATGCCTGCTGGTTTTTGGTAAATCCCATTACGTGAATGGTAAATTTCACTATACATGTAGTTATTTATGAATTTTACAAAATACATATTGTGATTTACAACTTTTGTAGTGAAAGTGACTACTTTGTTAATGGGTTTTGCAACCTGTTTTCAGGAGATAAACAACTTGTTTGTAAAACTAATAAAAGTGACAACTTTTGTAGTCACGTTGAATTAACTGGTTGCAAAAGCCATTTAAGAAGTGGTCATTTTCACTATAAAAGTTGTAATATCACTGTGTGTTTTGTAAAATTCAGCGTCAAATTTTATTGATTTTTAGAAACAAGTTGCTCATCCCCTAAAAAGATGTTGCAAAACTCATTTAAGAAGTAGTAATTTTCACTAAAAAAGTTGTAAATATCACTCTGTATTTTGTAAATTCAGCATGGAATTTTATTGGTTTTTTGAAACAAATTGTCAATCCCTTGAAAAGAGGTTGCAAAACTCATTTAAGAAGTGGTCATTTTCACTATAAAAAGTTGTAAATATCACTGTGTGTTTTGTAAAATTCAGCGTCAAATTTTATTGATTTTTAGAAATAAGTTGCTCATCCCCTGAAAAGAGGTTGCAAAACTCATTTAAAGTGGTAATTTTCACTACAAAAGTTGTAAATATCACTGTGTGTTTTGTAAATTCAGCATGAAATTTTATTGGTTTTTAGAAACAAGTTGCCAATCCCTTGAAAAGAGGTTGCAAAACTCATTTAAGAAGTGGTAATTTTCACTACAAAAGTTGTAAATATCACTCTATGTTTTGTAAAATTCAGCATGGAATTTTATTGGTTTTTAGAAACAAGTTGCCAATCTCCTTAAAAAGAGGTTGCAAAACTCATTTAAGAAGTGGTAATTTTCACTACGAAAGTTGTAATCTCACTATGTGTTTTGTCAAATTTAGTAGGAAATTTTATTAGTTTTTAGAAACAAGCTGCCCATCTCCTGAAAACAAGTTACAAAACCCATTGAATAAGTGGTCATTTTTACTACGGAAGTTGTAAATCCCACTATACGTTTTGCCAAATTTAGCGTGAAATTTTATTGGTTTTTACAAACAAGTTGTTTATCTCCTGAAAACAGGTTGCAAAACTCATTAACAAAGTAGTCACTTTCACTACAAAAGTTGAAATCACAATATGTATTTTGTAAAATTCATAAATAACTACATGTATAGTGAAATTTACCATTCACGTAATGGGATTTACCAAAAACCAGCAGGCATATGACAGCAGTTACGTTACGTAATTGCTTGTCATTGTTTTCTGATTTCCGCTTCGTCTTTCCCACAGGTTCACTCCCTCTCTCACTACAAATCCTCTTTTCCACAACCAAAACCCACCAAATCAATAATCTCTACAGAATGGTGATGCGAAGGATTTAGTTTCGTCAACTGGAAGGGGTTCGGTTTCGTGGAGTGGAGGGATTGGTTTCATCGAGTAGAGGGATTCGGTTTCACTGAGGGGAGGGATTAGTTTCACCGAGTAGATGGATTGGTTTCGCCAAGTGGGGGCAGTTTCTCTTTCGCCGAGTGGGGGAATTGCTTTCGCTGGGAGGAGGCGAACACAATAAGGGCAATTCAGTCTTTAGGCCAAAAATCAAAATTCCAGATTGGTACTTGATGCCTTCTTTGTCATTTTGCTTATTCAGGTCCCTTATTTGTCTTTTTGGAATTCAAGTGGTATTTTGGTGTCATTTTTCCTATTTTAGTCAAATATAAAATTGAACCGCTTCTACCATATGCGTTCCAAATAATTACACACTAACAAATACACCCTCAAGTGGGCCCTTAGAAAGCACACGAATAGTATCCTCCATGTAGCGTAAAGCTCTTTTTTTGATCCCTCTACTCTTACGGCTCTTTTTTTTTTTTTTAAATTTTATAAAAATTCCACATATATTGGGTAGCCACGACAGTAATTATTAATACTTAATAGTGTCAATAATGTTTTTACTTGTAGCATGATAAGTCACAAGTTGAGCTGACTTATGGATGATAATGATAATTTTTTAAAAACATGAAAAATACAACAGCTAAATTTTAAGCGAATCCAAAATTTAGGAATTGAGTCTTCCTTATCGATGCGGTAAACATTGGAAGTCACTTTTCTCTTTATTTAATCTCATTCCATCTATCTATTAGCTTCAGTTTATTGATTGTCGTGGTTTAAAAGAAAATCAGTTGTGCTTGATATTAATTCCATCTCAACTTTTCAATATTGACTAAAAATACCAACTGCAATGACAAAACTGAGAATATAAACTACAAACCATAAAGAATCATACCAGCTAACAACACATAGCTACCACTTCAAACAGTAAACTACAATTTCACAACCGCCTTTATTGAAGATAGGATAAAATACAAAGACAAATTGTCACCATATATGACACTGCATTGATTCCCAACATACAGATTTAAGAAACTACAGCAAACCATATAAAACGCAACTAATAAGGTTAGATTTTCTCCTGGATATAACAATGGTCCTACGCCGGAAATAATAACACAAGGTACTAGTACCAGTTACTTTGTGTTATAATAAAAGCATAGGAACATCCTTGCTTTGGAGAGAATCCAAATCCTTGATTAACTTTAAGGAAGAGATGAATGTGTGAAATGGTGATGAGGTAGACGTTCTGCCACAAACACGAAGAAAAGCCCCATAACTCCAAGGTGTTCTCGAGTGTTATTGTACCTAGACTCTACAGTTATGGTTTCACCATCCATTATCTTAACAGAACCAGGTTTGGGATAACAAGTTTTAATTCCTACAATATAGCCTTTCTCGTTTCCTGCTCCCATTCCTTTTCCATAAATTGGCTTTGAAGAACATAATACCCTTCCGTCCTGGAATCAGACAATCACTAATTTCAGAAAAATGTATTGTATGAAAAGCATAATGGCATAAGGTTATAAGATTGTTCATTGATGTATGATTTAAATTTTAATGAATAAATCATTTGGTTACTGAAGATAGGAGAAAAAATCACCTCTCCATATACAGTCGAATCAATTCCACCTGCATGTAGATGTCCAAGACCATAGATGATATTACCTCCTTTTGGCATTGGGAAGCTTGTTCTCTTCACATGAACGCAGGCGTTTCTTTCTCTTTGCTTCTTGCTGCATGACTCAACTTGATACTCAAACTGTAAAAAGACCAACAAAAAAAAAAAAAGAATATACATAATTATGCTTTAAACACTATGAGAAAGCAATGAAATTTTTTATTCAGACCAATCAAGCTACCTGTCACCTGACTAACTCACTTGCTTACCTTGCAGTTATGGGTTGTAGCCAATGCTTTGGAAGATTTACTTCTTGATGTTTGCAAAGTATCAGTCACATCAAATGAATAAATCTTAAGAGGAACAATCAAATCACTCCAATCAACCCACTTAACTGTATATCTCACATGTAGTCTTCTCTTTCGTCCCACAAACCCTTCCCTCATCCTGCATTGACTTTTATCATCACAACATAACAAACCACCTTTATAACCTGGTTCTATAGGCTTGCCAGTAGCATCCTTTGTGACGTTATAAAGATCACACCAACACTCAATACAACCTAACTTGTTTACTACACCTCTTGTATCAATAGCATGAACATTAAGCATCCATTTTTCCTCATGCCCTTTAGGGATGTCTGCTGGATTTCCTACTTCTACCCCAAAAGGATCTGGAATATCTGTTTTTGTTTTTCGTGTTTCGGACCCAACAGCAAAATACTGTATCAAAGAGTCATCCTGACACATCCCACTATTCCTCAATATGTAATGACCTAAGGGCTCTTCCTCCCTTGGTGGGCCTTCCTTGAGCGTGTTTCTATTGCCTTTACGTTGATGGTATCTAATAACTTGCCAATGGTGGAGATAAGTTTCATGAAGAGGTACAGAATTGCCATGTTCATCAACTACTTCACCATTGAAGCTCTTGACTGCAATATGGCCTTTTGGGAAGTCAATACCGTAGTAATACCTGTTTAGAACTGACCCAGGTTTTAGTTCAAACTTGGGGGACAGATACGTAGCTTCCTTGACATGATGTCCAATACTCTTTCTTGAAGCACCAGATAATGGTACCGTGCCCAATAAGAGGAATAGTACTGCTGATATCCAAGCTCCACTAAGAACTTGCATTTTGATTCTGTCAACAAGATTGTATTTTTAGCTGAAATACCAGTGAGAGAATTTGACAAAACTTGTTACAATTAACCCCCACCCACCCCCCCAAAAAAAAAAAACTTCTATAGGAAAGCCCATCTTACTGTATTTTTAGCTGAAATACCCATGAGAGAATTTGGCAAAACTTGTTACAGTTACTTGTTCTACTTCCGCAGGAAAGACCGTGTTAGAATGAAAAAGATGCAGAGAACCCGAAAATTCTACTTGAAAGAGGAATAGACACACCACGCTTGTATCATATAATAAGCTTCTTATAGTTCCAATGCTCTTCTCTCATTCAGTCTGACCGATATTAAGTATCATATGCATGAAAAACGTATCTCTTACATACATGAACCGCACTATTCTAGAGGAACACAATAATTCATGACACACAATACGAGAAGCAGTCTTCGTTGTTTTCCAACAAACACCTAAAAGACGCTCACAAAATACTCAGAGACAACATTTAAGTTTACTACGTTAAGAGGCCTCTGATCCAAGCAAGCATAATAATGGAAACAAATTAACAACCTCACGATAAAAAAAAAAAAAAATATCTGAACAGAGTTTGTAGCTAACAGAGTAACGGCAAGGACAGAAACGAACGCAGTCCGTACAGGTACGGAAATTAAACCGAAGTTCTCAGAAGTAAAGAGACTACACAAGAATGACGAGAGAAAGAAGAAAATCTCAGCAAGGATGGTCTCTCTTGCAGCTAAACTCGAAATAAAAAGGTATAAAGGAAAAAAAAAACACATGGAAATACCGACGTTATAAGGGAAACAGATACATCTATAACGAAGAAGTAATGGAAGAAGAAAGAGCATACCGCGTAAGATGAGAAGAAGGAAGAGAAGTGTAAGGTTTTGGATTTCCAACGACAAAATTTACTACCGATTTGCCATATATAAATAGCGGAGCGGGCACGGAATGCACTGCGTTGTGCTGATTATTTAGCAAAGGAAGCTCACGACAATGTGGAAGACATACGAATGATGAGGGAGGTCCCCCCAGGATGCCGAGCACAGCTGGAGCTAGACAGAATGACGTATTTAACTTTCTTTCAAGTTTTTACTTGCCTGTTAAGCTGACTTAACGGCTTCCGCTGAGATACTCCTCATTTCCAATAGCCTGCCCCGAATGCAACGGATAGAAAAAGGACCCCGTAGCCCGGACCCTGCTGAAAAACGTGAGCGGGTGCTCCAACCCCGTAGCCCGGACCCTTCCCGCTATTTCTTTAAAACGGCGTCGCTCTCCGTGTCCCCCACCAATCCCGCTTTCTCGCATTCAAGGTTACACGCGGCAAGGCTCCAGCGACCCTTCGGGCTTCTCTTTTGCAAAGAACCCACATGTAAAATATTGAGTTAAGATACATCTAGCATCCCGAAATATTTTCTCAAATATAATCAGCACCATGAAATATTTGATGGTATATCTAGAACCTTGAAGTATTTTTTAGGGGCGCCCAGCACCCTGAAGTATTTCTTTTTTGCCCGGGTGTTGAATGCATCAAAAAATATTTTTAAGTACTGGATGCACCTAAAAAAATATTTTGAGATGCTGGATGCACCAAAAAAATTTTTACGTTGCTAAATGCATATAAAAAAATATTTCAAAGTACTAGATGCACAACAAAATACTTTAGGATGCTGGATGTACCTGAAAAAATATTTCAGAGTGCTGAATGCACCTTAACCCTAAAATATTCTACCCAGCCCTTTATTTTATTTAAATTAGGGAAATTTTATTTTTATTTTAAAAATATATAATTAACATAAAAATTATATAAACCTTGGTTATATATTTGAGATTTTATTTCATCCATTTAACCATTAGGTGATCATTAATTTTGACTTTTAAACTTCTGTTTTAACCAAAATACTCATTCTTAACATAAAAAGTTATTTAAATATTTATATTTGTCAAAAAAAATATTTTTGCTCCACTAAAAATACTTTTAATACAACTATTTTCAAATTTTTAATATGCAATAAAATTTATTAATTTTGATTATAATATAAAATTTTATAATTTTAATTTTTCACTGCATAATGAAACTTGTTTATTTACGTTTCTTTTAAATGACTAGAAAATATATTAAATAAATATTTTTCATCATGTAGTATAAATTGCTTAAGTTTGAAAGACCATAGAAATCATTTAAATTTAAAATTTAAAATTTTGAAATAAAAATTTCATTAAAAACATTTATAACGCATTTAGTCTATTACATGTTTATTTAAAGAATTAACCAAATTTTCATTCAAGGTTTTTATGTCTATGTTAAATAAGTAAATTGATTTTCCACCCCAACATGATAAAAACATTAAATAGGTGACTATTTGTAAAAATAAAAAATAAGATTAAGGAAAAGAAAAAAATTTTAAATTCGTCAAAACTTTTTAGCCAAAATTTACGAATTTAGTATTATGAGTAAATTAATAAAGAAAAAGTATTTTAATATAAATTTTAATTAAAAGTATCTTTTTAGAATATTTTTAACAGAGTTAAAGATTTAAATTTAAGTGTATGTTTTTAAAATAGAGTAGAAGTTGATATGATTAGAGCAAAATGCTACTATAAATTTTAAGAAAAATTGCATGTAATAACCCAGAGAATAATATATTTATATTAAAATTTAAAAGTGATACTATTTTCTAAGTCAAACTTAATAAAATTTATTAAAATTTATTCTTGCATTCTAAAATATTACTACTACTGCATCATTAGGAATTCATAATTATAATTCAAAGTAAAATAACTTTTTAAAACATATTTATAAAAAGAGCACTGTGTAAATATTATCCGAACAAATAAATATGCGATGCTATTTAAGTTTGTTATCGTTACAAACTTACAATAAATTGTTATAGTTAATTTAAATATTAAATACTGAATATTACTTATAACAAATCACATCTGTTATTATTAATTTTTTACTTATAAAAACTGCACATTTCACTGCATGACGCTATTTTTTTTTTGGCCATGTGCATTTTTAATAACAGTTTTTTAGAGTAAAGCAGTACCTAACACCTCAATTTTATCTCTGTACACCCAATACCCTAATGTTTTAGTAGTACAATTTTATTTATCATCTTTTAAACTTGGTGCAAGTTTACCTTTTTTTATCTATTTGAAGCCACCTTTTTTATTTTATTCATTTTAACAATTAAAATTAACAGTTTTGGTTCCTTTTATCAAATTATTAACAACTTTCGTACAAATATTTATCTGTGCGTTTTGGATTGTTTTTTTTTTTTTTTATACAAAAGACAAAATACTTGAAAACCAGTAGCATGTCTCTAAGACACGCTTGCTCTCCATCATGGAAGTTGGGTCCTACAAAAATCTGACTGGTAGGTTTTACAAAGCAGAGCCCATGTGCGTGCGTGACAGCCTTACAGGGCCCGAGTTGATTTTCGGATGTCCCCAAAAGGACCACTGTGTTCGGTTTTTTTTTTTTTTTTTAATGCATAGATATTTTGTTATTTGAGGTAATCATATTCAAGACACTGTTAAGTATTAAACATGGTTACTTCTTTACAATAAAGATTTGAACTTGGTTTACCATATTATGAGGAATTAATCTTTTTCACTAGACCCAACTCTTATTGGTGGGACTCCAATCTTGAAATACAATTCATCATTATATTATCTACATACTACTTCACCTTTTTAATATATAAAAGTTTATTTAAAATTCAATTTGATCTTAAATAATCTTAAATATTGTACAAGATTTTAACCTATTTTATCTTCAATATTTATCAATTTCTTCTCAAATAATCCCTATAATTATTGAACATATTAAGAGGTTTTCATCAAAGAGTAGCTCCAATACATATGATTAACAAATATATTTATTATAACTTACTATTTTAAATATTTTTTTAATTTTTATGGATTAGTTATTTAGTTTTTATATTAAATAGCGGGATAATATAACATAGTGAAAGTGTTTTGTTTTTTTATCACTTAGTGTCATCCTTTATATATTAGGAGAATTATTATATGTTCCTCATCTTTAAACAAATCACAATAATTGAATACAAAAAGTTTTGTTCTTGAGATTTATTGCCGAAAATCTATTTCTCCACTCAAAATTGATTTTGTAGATCAAAATCGATATCTTTATCCTTTATAACATATACAAGTTGCTTTTTCATTTATATTTATAATGAGTTTTAGTTTTAGTTTTAGTTTTAGCTTCTGTACTTTTAACAATTTTGATTTTTTTTAATCTCTATAGATTAACAAAATTACCCGCTTTAGTGTAAGTAAAAAAAAAAAAAAAAGGATTTTATAACTTCTTTTTACCAGCTCTAGATTTTATAATTTATATCTTAAAGCTTTGAATATTACACAAGTGTGGGTAATAACTTTATTAAATTATATTTCTTCCATTTCTTTGTATAAGAAATAATCTCTATTATAGTGAAGTCTCTAATAGTCCTTTGGTATAAGAGAAACGAAACAGAGGGGAGGGAAACGAAAATCTTAATAAGTTCCATTTGAAAAATTAAAAAAATGAGGTTAAGGGCTTTTGATTAATTTTTATTAAAATTTTAAAACTTCATTTTTCTAATTTTTTTTTTATGGAACTCATTAAAATTTTCCCTCCATTTTTCTCATACCAAACATAGGATAAATATCAGAAAAAAATTATCTTTATCTTAAATTTTAAATTAGTATTTTTACTTTTATCCCCATTAAATATATGCCACTTATTATCTTTTTGTAATAAATTTTTACTTATTATCTCTCATATACTATCTTTATAAATAAGAGTATAATTGAAAAAATATGTTCAGCTAAAAAAAAAATTGAAAAAATATGTATATATCCTACACATTTATTGCTTTTCACTAAATTTAATTAACATTTTTAAACATGTGATCTTGATAGTTGTTTCTTATGATAAGAGGTGAAGAGATTAAGTAATTTTAAAAAGCACAAAGAATAATTTGAGTTCTTAAAAAAATAATAATTCTTTGATATTTTAAATTTTTTAATATTACTAATATTGGTAAAACACCCATGAAACTAACATATTTGGCATTCAGAATTTGATAAGAAATCTCCAAACTTTTAAACTTGCACGGATAACTCCTGACCGGAATTATCTTGTCATTTTACTTGTATAATATAGTATCTTAATGATTATATATCATTTTTTATTTTTTTTAATTAACCCACCCAAACTTTGTGTCACCTATAAATAAAGCCGTAAATTTGGAGAGGAAATAGCACGCAATGAAATAGGAGAAATAAAATGGATTGCAAGGGTAGCAATCCCAAAAAGAAGACTCAGGCCAAAAAAAATCCCAAAAAGAACAGAAAAATAGATTAGAGGGGAATTGATTGCCATGTACAATCTGGTTCTACTAGGTTCCCGACGAACCTAGAAATGGACATTTGGTACGATCCACGTTTTTTTTTTTAACGATTCACACGTTTTCAATAACAGAAAATATAGAGTAAAAAAGGTTCATTCATAAAATATTTTAAAATAATAGTTTATAATTAGAGGAAATTACCTTAGAGTCCCAAGAAGCATAAAAAAATTATTAAAAGGTTCCATGAAACCTTCAAACAATTGAGAATTGCAAGGCACCTCATGATTATTTTGAAATTACTGAGCTATTTTTATTGATTAAATTTAGTTGTAAATACATGATACTTTAAATTGTTAACAAGTGTGTGGTGCATATTAACATTAAAGAAAGCCAACACATAACCCGAATACTCCTGGCCTAGTGGTGACTGGCTAGGTCACAAGTGAGGCGAGTCTTTGCTCTTTGAGGATGGGGTTCGAATCCTCACTTGTTAAAAAGGGTACCGGGGAGGG